CTGAACTTTTTTCTGTAGTGGGAATAAAATACTTCTCTTGCATCCTGCCGCACATGCACTTCTGTGCGGTTCTTCCCTTAAATTCTGCACCTCCAGTGAGCACTGCTCACAGTGGGCAACTGCTTTTTAATGTAAGACATCTACTCAATATTGTATAAACCTCGATTTCTGCTCTGCTGTTGACTGTTACTCTGAAACCTCTGGTCATTACTCTGTGTTGAAGGGATTTTACAGTAGTAGCCAGCCAAACCCGACAGGCAGCCTTTTGAATTCTCTGCTACGTTGTATACAGTATCTAACCATTTGACCAACATGTCAAGGCACATTTGACCAAGATATGAAGAGTTTTTCATTATTATTATTTATTATTTTAAGGAGATCAGGAGTTCAGACACACAAATAGCAGAGCTGGACAGAATGACAGACTTATGTCCCGAAATATATTCCATACACTTTTATTCACTCGCTGAACTGGAAAACACCCAGTATCACCCAGTAATACAAGGCACATAATAATTGCAAGAGCGATATTTACCACCTAGTAATGCAAAGTTCAAAAGCCCTGCTAAGGGTAGATGTGATATGCAGGGTGATGTGAAAAAGGAGGAGCAGATACGCAGTGGAGGGACGTGGCTCGGTTTACCGTATCCCAGGCTGTGTAAATTGGAGGGACGTGGCTCGGTTTACCGTATCCCAGGCTGTGTAAATTGGAAGGACGTGGCTCGGTTTACCGTATCCCAGGCTGTGTAAATTGGAGGGACGTGGCTCGGTTTACCGTATCCCAGGCTGTGTAAATTGGCAGTTCCAGATCACAGGGAAGACACTGAGAGGCTGATTTTTGTTTCTCTTTGGCAAGGTGTTTTGAGGCCTCGGAGAAAGTCACTGATGATTAGTTTCTGGGGTGGAAAAAAAGAGCTTTTAGGTTTTCTCCTGACAGGCAGTCAGAAGAAGTAATTTGCCAGCAAATTTTTTTTCCACATATACAAAGGAGCTCTGAAGGTGATGACTGAGCCCCCTTTCTGTATTGTAGCACTACAGTGATATGATATGCATTTCCTGCATGGTGTCAGTCTTATTTTATGCTAATAACTGTAGCTTTAACTTTTGAAGATGGTTAACGATGTTTTATATTCATATATTTTTAATGCATCCATAACAACTCTGTTGTGAAAGGCACAATTTTAAAAAAATGTAATTGAATAATTACAAACCTGTGTGTGTGTGTGTGTGTGTGTGTATTATGTTTATATTACATTGTGGGGACCAAATGCCCCCCACAATGTGATAAAAACTTTTGGTTTTGATGCTGTGGGGATCATTTTCAGGTCCCCACAAAGATCTGTGCATGCAATCAAAAAAGTAAAAATGCCAAAAGTGTTTGGTTTTTAATGGTGTGTCCCGGAGAGTACATTACTGAGTCCTGAAACCACAGTTACCGAAACTACTGTACAAGTTTTAGGCAGTCAAAGAAAATGTTTCAAGCTATTTATCTGGGTACTGAGTGTATATATTCTCAGTATGAAGATCACAAGAACACCTAGAGCATTTGAAAATTAAGAGTAACAAAACACAAACTAACAAGAATTTCTTTCATTCTCCAAAATTTTCAGATGAACAAGGCTTCAGTTCACACTCCTCAGCAGCACTCCAGCCGTTCCATGTATCTGTTACATTTCAGCATCAGCTCACTTAATTCATTAATTTAATTAATTGTAAAAAGTCAATGAGGTATTGATTAACCAAACAAGGCGTGCTGGTGGTTGAAGCAAAAAATACAAGAGTGTATTAGAAGGTTGCTGTAAATACAGGGGTGACTTTAGGAGAGGTTTGAAGGGGCTAAGCTGACACACTTTGACAGACATAATATCATAGTTTGACAGCAACATGAAGATCATTCAAACATCATTTTCTCTCACTACCTAAAACTTTTGCACAGTATCATGTGGGCATGTTTGTGCACATACAGTATCCTCCTGAGACGAGACCCACCCATTCATTTATGTCCATTGCAGTGGACATGTTGTTTTTGCATCTTTTCACTGATGTAAGGAAACATATTTATTCCTGTTGTTCACTAAAGAGGACATGCTGTGAAATTAAAAATAAAAATAAATTTGAAAAAATCTAAATTGTAAGATGTCTTATTTCTTCCAAAGACAAATAACCTAAAATTGAAGGACACTTATTTCCTTGGGTTTCAGGAGGATATACAAATATACAGTACATTATATACAGTGGTACCTCGGTTCTCAAACTCACTAGAACTCGAATTTCTTGAAAGTCGAACAAACCAGTTTGACCTACAACTCGATCTGAATATCAGAAGTCGAACCGTGAATGCTGACCTAATATAAATTGTACGCGACAGGAAATGAGTCATACTACAATGCAATTCTTACTTGAATACTTCTTCACAGACTGGACGATTAACCAAATAAAGCAGCGCAACATTACAGTAACTAACAATAAATAAACCACTAACTTACGTGTACTATTAGAGCATTTATGTCATTTATTTAAACTTTATTTTACCAGGTAAATTAACTGAAATCCAGTTCTCACTGCTTTACGTGATATTCGGGAGAAATAGCAGATTACGCATCGGAACTGCCTGGGATACAAACGTCATGCATGTAACTAAACTCTTCAGCCAATAAGGGCAAAGGTGTATCGTCACGGAGGCGATTCCAGTTTGTGCAGCCGGGTGAGAGGTCGCAATGCATTGAACTGTAATGCATTGCGTCAGGATCAGAATGTGTTGCTTTAAGCCAGCGCTGTAAGCAAGTCGAACGCACCCAATGACCGGACTGGGGAAACAAACTGAAACGCGGACTTAATACAGAGGACTAATGACAACAACCAGAAACAGCTGATCACATGGGGATCCCACACGAGGTTAACGAGGGGGCGTGGCACACGGAAGGAGCGGACGATCGGGGCAGGACAGGGGTAATGATGGGATAAGATCTTTATCGTTTTGGAAGCCATTAAGAAAAAAAATGCTCTTCTTGTTTTATCCTGTTCATTTTGTGTTTAAATGCTAAAAAAAAAAAAAAAAAAACATATTTAGGTGTAATTTTGGAGGGCCGGGAACCAATTAATTGGTTTTACATTATTTCTTATGGGAAAAATTCGATCAGAACTTGAACTTTTTAGGATTCGATCCAGAGTACAGAACGGATTAAGTTCGAGAACCGAGGTACCACTGTATATTGTTTGTTTGTTTTGGTAGGCTTATATATCCATCCTGAAATTAATAGAAAGGGAGAAAGACATGTTTTTATCCAGCATTTTGTTGAAAATATTGATTAAACAAGTGATTTATGGACATCTTATACTCATGATAAATAAAGGCCATGGAGATAGCCTTGTATATAACCACCCAATGAGGTATTCATGTAGGTCTGTCCAGGCCAAAGAAATTCTCAATGGGAATACGAACAGGAACAGTGTTTTGCCATCAACAGAAGGGAATGATTCAGCTTATTGGACCACTTTGTGCTGACAGAAGACACCAGATGAAACATCCAGGCTAAGATTTGGCTGGGATGTTATATGAGCAGTAAAAAGCGAGGTAGTTCTGAAGTAGTAATGCCATGTCATAGCTTATGTATAACTTCCATTTTAATGATGCTTATCGGATGGTGTAGGACTTCCAGTGGTAACTGCATAGACACTGGCTACTGCACGCTGGCCTCCATGTTAGACAATGCTACTGTAATTTGTAGAGTTCTACCTGATTATTCTAGAACTCCTTCCCCGTTTTCTCTATCTTCCTTTCCACAAAGTGTTTCTGTGAGCCCACTCCCAGTTCTAGTACCAGTGATTCCCAACTGGTACTAATTAACGTCTGCTGATGTGTTCAGCATAGTACTCAACACAAAGTTTCTGGTTTTTATGATTGATTTAATCATTTCTGACAAATTCAGTGAGTCACTGCATTTCTTCTTTGTTTTTCATTACAGCCCTTTTGCTTAATCGTGTTGCCATTTACACAAAGGTACATGACACATTTGTTTTTATTGCCAACCTGATATTTGGGATCCAAAGACTACCTTTAATGTAGTAAATCCTTATCATTTGTTGCATTACTCTTTTTTAAACAGTATTTTACAAATTCTGACTGATGTGACACAGGTACAGATCTATGTGTAAGTTCCTCAGGGAGGCAGCCACATTATTATAGTATAAATACATACCAGTCACTCTTTTCCAGGTCATATGAATCAAAGTAATGTATCATAATCAATAAGAATATTTTGAGAAATTCAGTACCAGTCTAAAGTCTGGACTTACCTACTGAAAATCATTTGTTTTTCAACAAAATAACGAGCCTAAGCTCACCTTGAGGTCATGACAGTGCTGTATTATCTTGTGAACAAGGAAAGAGATGGAGTGCTGTGACAGATGACCTGGCCCCCACAATCCCCCCCTAACCTAAACCCTATAGTGCTGGTTTGGGATAAGTTGGATCAGAGAGTAAGAGTAAGGTAGCCGACTGGTGCCCAGACCTTCTGGAAACTCCTTCAGGACTGTTGGAGAAGCATTGCAGGTGGCTACATCTGGAAGCTGGCTCAGAGAATGCCAAGAGTCTGCAGCGCTGACATCAAAGCTAAAGAGGGCTGTTTTGTGGAGTGTAAATATTTGACATGTATCACTTCATTTCCTCAAGGCCTTTTACTATAAAGTGAATAACAAAGCTAAAATACAGAAACATGCATTAAAATGTAGGTGCGTCCTGAACTTTAAGTATCTAACCTATGTAGAAATTTGAAGATCGGCCTCAGTTGTGGTGACTGAGAACATCAGTTGTAGCTTAATTACTTATGTGATACTCTGACACTGAGGTGACGGAATGGGACACTGTTAATGTCAAGTCAGAGTCCCTATTCTCAAGCCAGACATATTGGATTTATTAATTACATTATGTGGATAATGGGATGAGGAGATGATTTCATCACGTAAAGGCTTATACCTTTTCCATGTTCTGTATCCAACAGGGACTCAAACCAATGGATCACAATGGGCTATCGGATCCTTACGTTAAGGTGCATCTGCTGCCTGGAGCCAGTAAGGTACGTAGGCCTTAGATGGGCCCTGAGAAAGCACAGAAAGAGGATTCCACCCTTTAGCTCAGCGAGATATCATATCTGCAGAAAATGCTAAATAATAAAATAGAAATACTGGGCATCCTCTAGAGCTGCCATGTATCTATATCAAGGTCAAGGCTTGTTAGCTTAGATGAATGTTTCCCAACCCGGTCCTCAGGGACCCGAGGCAGCCCATGTTTTTGCTCCCTCCCAGCTCCAAGTGGGGGAGCAAAATGTAGACTGTCTGGTAGGGAGCTGGGAGGGAGCAAAAACATGGACCGTCTGTGAGTCCCCAAGGACCAGATTGGGAAACACTGGTTTAGAGAATGCCTGTAAATGCTTATATATTTAAACTTTATAATAACAAACATTATATAACAATAAAAAAACATTAAAGTCGTATAATCATATGATATTTGTTATTAATGTATATTAAAGCTGTTAAGGTTTGTTAGGATGTTACAGCATACTTACAAGCCGCTTATGAATGTTCTATGAATGCATTATGAAGGTGTATTAAATGTTCTATGAATGAATTATAAAAGCATTATGAAGATGCAGTTAATGTAAGGCACTTATCTTTAGGGCAGTATCCCTCTTATGTTTTTTGACCAATGAGGTCACTTTCAAGTGGACAACTTCACAATAACATAAATATCATAATCCTATTACTTATTGAAAAGCTATGAAAGAAATAGAAATATAATAGAATAGAAAGCCTTTTATTGTCATTGTGCTGGAGCACAGATGCTACTTCTGCTACTTGTACTACGGATGCTGAATGGGGGAAAAAAATGTAATTACTTTATAAATATGAATATATAAATATAAATGTATCGTGTATCACTCTCACATCAAAAATCATGCATGATTGTGGTCAAGGACCTAGAGCATTTTTTATTAAAATATTTATACCATTTTAGTAATAAATACACTACCGTGCCAGTGACAGCATACTGATTATACTTATTAAAATCATTACATGCCTCATTTTGAGTCATTTTTCTTGTTGAGTAATGTTTGGCTAAGAAGGTTTTGTGTAAAAATATCAAAATAATCCACACAGTTAACTGCAGTGCTCCAGATGCCATTGGTGTAGAACTCGTGTATGTGCCTTTAATTACAAAGTATCCCTGCTTTGATCATTTAATGTGTATTTTTTATGAGTTGCCTTCTGATAGTCATACAAATTAAGGTGGAATGTAAGTTCTTTTACTCTTGATAGATAGACAGACAGACAAACATAAAGTCCAATACAGTAAAATCCCGTTATAGTGTACTCGTTTATAATGGAATATCGTCTATAATGGACGAGGTCCGCTGGTCCTGGCCGCGCGCCTTTAAGAACATGCAGAAAAAGCATCGGATATAGCGGACTCGCATATAACGGAATTTCGCTTATAATGAACAATCAATTTGGTCCCCAGGGCCGCTTTTAGCTGTAGTTTTGTTCGGCTATAACGTACATGCAGGCTCCGCCTACAAGGTGACTGGCGTGCCGGTGATATCCAGCGCAGATACGTAGTCGGGATTATTAATAGTCACGCACCTGGTCAGGTAAAGTTGGATTACTACATGTACAATATAATAATCTGTACCACAAGTGTGTCTGCTGGGGTGTGGCATGAGTAAATGGTGTCCTGTAGTTGTGTTCTGGGCAAACAGCAATTCTATATAACGGACTGTTTTGCCAGGTCCCTTGAAGTCTGTTATAACGGGATTTTACTGTATTACAATCATGAAACGAAAGACAAGCAAGATACGAAAAATGTTTACAGTATACATATGAAAATTCATTACTTACATACATATATTGAAATGTGTTCAGTTTGTTGTGTATATTTAAAAATGTCAAATCTATTTTACTATATTCCAGTAGCAGCAGTAATGTGATTGTTTCAGAAATGAAAGCTTTTTTTATTTTCAGAATGGTTACAGTACATCAAAACCATCATCACAAGCTGGCTATGACTTTGATCCCAGGTTTGATCCCAGAGGGACCCCATACTGTGCATACAGATGCGCAGAAATAAATACGCAAAAAACCCCAAAAACAGCAGGTCACGCTCCCCCTTGCTCACCCTCGATTCAATCACCTGCAGGCGAACAAACTGCGCACCAAGACACTGCGCAACACCCTCAACCCCGTGTGGAGCGAAACGCTGACGTACTACGGCATCACCGACGAGGATATGGTGCGCAAAACGCTCAGGTAGTGCAGCCAGTCGCTTTCGCTGTAACAATCCCATGTCGCGCGCGCACGTGTGTGTGTGTGTATGTGTGTGTGTGGGTGGAGCCAGATTAAGCCTATTAAGTGGCAACAGCATGCCAGACGTCAGGTCAGAAAGAAACAGATCTGCTCAAGAATTGCACCTAACTCTGGGAATATGTTACATAGGCTGCTCAGTGAGTGCTATATTAAAAGTACAATACACAGTCATATTAAAGATATCAAATATTAAATTGCATTAACTTGTTACAAGACATTTGTGAATGAGACCAGGGGTGGTCACTCTGTTCGATATTACAAATGCTTATATGTTTAATCCAGGCCAGGTCCTGTGATTGGGGATAGGTTCCAGGCAACGTGGGAATTTGTGCTGGATTGGATTGATGGATGGATGGATGGATGTAGCTATTGTCATTGCCTCTGCATGTCTTTGTGGATTGTTGGATGGATGGATGGAGATATTACCATTACCTCTCTGTGTGTCTTTGTACAGAATAACCAATCAGAATACTCCTTTCTAAGAATGTTATTAAAGATTAATGGAATCTGATTCTTATAAATTCTGTCCAGGTCTTAGTGAATGATTTTTTTTGACTGCCTGACCGCATAGTGTGAACACACTAAGCACCAGTGATTTTTATAACCTCAAGGGCCTGGGTTGGAATTGGAAAGCTGTCGATCTTCAAAATCTGTCTCGTAGGACCGAGCAGTCGCTCAGCTCGGCCACAGTGTCGTACAGCCTGTGCTGTAGCCTGTGTTTGTACCGGTGTTCATCCTCATTACAGCACAGAGGTTATGCGGTTATGAGGTTAAAAACATTAAAGCAGATAAGCCTTTTGGCCCCGTGAATGTCAGTTATTTTATTTTTTTTTGCTGCCCTTTGGCTCTTTATTAAAATGCAGTGATGAATACGAAAGGCTCCGTGAATCACCGAAAGCAAGAGTCAGTTAGAGCTGTCTGCAATTGGCTGGTGTGAATCAATATAATAGCAGAAGACATCTCAAGTCATTAAGCAGCTGATGGAGCCTCATTTTCCTGCCCTTAGTAAAAGGTCTGCATTTTTTTTTAATTTAGCTCCCAATATAAATGTCTTGTCTTCTCATTAATCGAATGCCATTGTGCCTGGAAGAAGCCCTTTGCATTACGTGCTGCTCACCGGCACGGATGACTGAGACAGCAGCGGCAGGTAAATAGCCGTCTGTCTAACTGACAGTCATGCATATTTGCATGTCAAGTAGGCAGTGACCCCCACCTGCAGGAAGGACACGCTTCACAGATTCATGCGGGATACTCCGGGCTCAGGAGAGATCAGACCAAAGGAAACTGATTTTGCATCAGGATCGTATCCCACAAATGTCCAGTAGCTCTTTATCCTGTTTAGTTGGTTGTGAACTTCATGGGATTTTTATGTAAAATCCAATAACAGTAACCTTTGAGTTTTGGCAGCAAAGTCCAGAACTCAGGGGATGTAATTGTTTGGGAAAAGATAGAGACCCTTTATAGCAAGCAATTTCCTGAATGACATGTTACTCCCTTCACTACTGCCAGTTTGTACCACCTGAGCACGGCTGCAGTAACAAGTCTGTCCTCACTGGCTTCTGTTAGGGCATGAGTAGATGGATGAGACCTGACTGGCGATCTGCTACAGTACAAGCCAGACTGAGGCAGAGGCCTGCCCTGCCTCACTGCCTCCAAAATGCAAAAGTAATGAAGATTCTTCACAGAGAAAACTAACAATTAATGAAATGTATGGTAACACTTAACTTGAAGCTGTCATCTAATGCATTATAATTACCTTAATAGTGCATTATAATAGTCGGTATAAGAATTAATAAAACATTACAGCATTTTCTACTGACATTCATAAGGCATTATAGTGTTGATTATAATGCTTCATAAGCTCCAATGAAGCTTTCATCTATAATGCACTAAAGATACCTTCATAATGTATTATAATGGTGGGTATAAGCATTAAGGATGCTTTGTACTGCATTATGAAGGTATCTATAGTGCATTATAGATGGGAGCTTCATAAAGCATTCATAATACATAATAAACATGGCTGTTATATGATATGCTTTTTTATATATATTTATAGCCATGTTTATAATGCTTTTTGAATGCATTATAAAGTGCCATGAATGTGTTTATAGATCTTTATAGATATGGCATTCATAGAAAGTGTTACCAAATTCTTTTTAATTTCATGGTGAGATTTTATTCGTACGTTCCAACATTACCAAATTGTTCGTTCTTGGTTTGTAAATGGATTTTTCTATAAAAGGAGAGGGGCATTCCTTTTTATTTATTAATTTAGCCTCTGACTTCCAAATATGATAATGAAGAATGTTACCAGTGCATACACATGAATGTCCGATTGCTGGGAGCTGGAAACCGTGAATCCGCGGTAAAACACCAGCCGTCCAGGTTCCTATTATGGGAGGACAGGACCTACAGGCACAATTTGCAGGCAAAACAAAATAAGGGCAGCAAATATGTCAGTTTGAAGTGGCCCATGTAGTTCCCTCCAATGTGTGCAAGGGCATGAGCGGCATGCTGATGAGGAGGGACCACCTGATGATTCACAAGGCGTTTACACAGGAGGTCTTCTTTCGGCTGTCTCTGCCAGTTGCCATGGATACCAAAGTCTCCTTTGTTAGCATTGCCTCCAGAATAGTTCATATCATTTATGCAAATAAATGCATTATAAAAATAAATTTAAAAAAAGTGAACCCAGCACTCATAAATTCATCCTGGAAGAGCAGGGCTACCCCATACAGTAATCATGCTTAGAGAAACATCATTTCCTGTCTAGTTAATGGTGAAAAATGAGGCGATTATCCTGTCTGCCTTCTTCCATTTAAGCGTCATCTGTGTTAGCTTCAATTGAAATGAAATTGGTTTTAGTTGGAAATTAAAGGAACGAGCGTTTCCAAGTTAGGACTGGAGCTTGGGAACATTGGCAGGCCGGGATATTACTCTCTTGGGGCTCCTTTTGATGCCTTTCATAAAGAACATATGTGTTACTCTCAGCTTTTCTTTATTCATTCATTCAACTTCACATATATGCATGACAATGTATCATAATCACATAGCTGCAAACAAAAGTAACATAACAACAATGTTCAAAGATGTAGTATAAACAAAATTAATAGCAAAAAAGGACAAATAAAGCAAAATATTTTAATACATTTGAAAAAGCCTTAACAGAGTCAAAGTTTTACTAAGTTTTTTCTTGTGCTGAAGCTGTATATTTATCAGGACAAAATAAGAAAGTATTAAAGAAATAAAGTACTTTTCAGGAATATTTTCTTTCATGGTAATAAAATTTACCTAGTATTATCAAGAGATTAATTAGAAAACGTTCACCTCTATTAAATGCAAGATCATCAATATTCAGTGAAACATAATACACTTGAATAAGGATTACTTTTCCAGTATGTGGTGCTGTAGCCGATTAAATGGTAAACCTGGTAGCTCATTGAGAGATATCTCCAAAATAAATGTTTGGATAACTGGCATTGACCTTCAAAAGCAAAGAAAGAATTACTGCAAATTGATTTTGGTTGTTATAAAATGCATTTGCAGCCCTCCTGGTGCTCAGGATACAGTGGATATATTGTGACACCCTGACATCCTGAATGAAATGACATTTTTTTTTCTCCGTCTTATACCTTGAAACTTTCAGCTAATCATTATTTAAGAATTAAAAACACCTTAATCTTAACCCTAATTCAACAATGTACTTGGCTTAAATACGTTCAGTTAAAAAAAAATCTGTATAAAAGTGATAGCATTGTAGTGCCAGGCAGACCAAGGCATTGCAAGAGCAGCGAAGGACAAGGAGATTTGCTTACCGGGAAGAACTCACTCTTTTATCGAAGTCCTTAGCAAGACCATAGCAGGCTGCCAACAAGCACCGAACTGAGCATAGTATGGAAACAAAGTGACGTTATACACTGGACTGTCAAGTACACACAGTGGGAGATTTATACAAAGCTAAAGACACGCGAGGATCGGACAGGGTGCACATAATACACGGGCAAACATACACGCCACCATTGGGCAGTACAACTGTTATCAACCACAGCACAACAAGGGGCTATTTTTCAGTTACTCGCAGGGCATGCTGGGACACGCAAACCCCAACAGCACTATAACACATTACCTGTGTAGGATGTTTTGGAGAAAAATGAACACAGTTCCACCATTCCAGGCCAAAATAATTAGCCTATATCAATGCTCTGTGCGCTGAACTGGCCAAGCGCTTTGCGATCTTGATGCCCGTCTCCACATACGCAGGGCGACCTTCTCGCTGATGTATCGCCCCGGTGCCAGCGTGCGTACCTCGAGCCCGAACACCAGACGAGTACAGTCATCATTCCCGCAATGGGAGTAATTTGATAATATTCGTGACTTCATGATCTTGTCTGTTACACAATGTTCCTGTATTTAAAGAAGTCTGAGATGAGTTACACTTTAATTTTGTGTATATGGCCAGGGACTTGGATAATGTCATTTTGGATTCAGACATATAATAACTGTCAGCAACAGTGACTTCAGTGGCCTTGCCACTGATTTCTCAATAAACCATTTGCCCAGTGTAATGTTTCCTACATTACAGAGAGGAAGCTTTAAACAAGGCCTGTTTTTTGTTACATTGTTTTATACAAGTGGGCTGATTCCAGTGATCAGGTGGTCAGATTCAATTTAGAACCAGGTCAGAGCATCTCTTAACAACATTTAACTCAATCGAATGACATGTCTCAAATCAGACATTCGCTCCTTTACAAATTCCCTCTCTATTAGCCATCCACCTGCATCCTTTCTGCCCTGGGACAGAACCTCAGAACCACCATTTAATTGCGACCCCTGTGAGGATCAGCCAAGAGTCAAAAGTGCCAGTATCGGGTGGGACGTTACTCGAGAAGCGTTACCGTGAAGTGTTACCAAGAAGCGTTACCGAGAAGCATTACCGTGAA